TCATTGTCGTCATTGGTATCGGTATTACTGTTATTATTATTATTGTTCCTGTTATATGTGTTATCACTTATTGGTATTATCGTTACTGATTTTATCATTGTTAGTGTTAGTATCACTATTATTCATATTCATCTTGTCAGTATAATGGTGACAGCTTTGTTGTCATTGTAACACCGACCGCCGTTATGGTGGTGATATCCGCTGAGATCATTACTATCATCAATATTGAAATCATTGCTGTTGTTAGCAATATTTGTTTCCATCATAACAGTTTTACATTTGATCATTATAGTAAAATGGTAAACTTTGAAAAGGAAGATATTGGCCAGGTTTTCTTGCTACAGTCCTATGACTAACAATTTATTTCTATAACCATTTTACGATTATACCTGAATTCATCATTTCATTCACCAGGCTTCCCTACACCGAAGCCACCATCATGGAAACCCTAAGGATGTCTTCGTTAATTCCTAGAGGAATCTTTCATTGCAACAGCGACGCAGACGTGAAAATCGCAGGATACAATATACCAAAGGTAAACTGATGGTTCACACACTGCAGTTACGCGAAGTGCGGTAGTTATACTCCAATCACCTCTCTCTTGTGAAACATTTGATTGATTACTGTAATTACGAGCGTGTGAAGTCTTCCATGCGGAATGTTGTGTAACCTATAAAATCGTTTTACTTGTAGACGATTTTAAAACAGCATACAAAAATGCAATTTAATTTTAAATGGGACTGGGAGGCTATTACTTGTATCGATAGAATAGCTTCACAGAACATATCCAATTGTGTTGGATTCCTTATTTCACATTTTACAAAATATCTTTGATGAAGGGATTATTATGTAACGAAAGACGATATATTTCGATGCATTTATTACCACTGCTTACAGTAAAGCCTAACCTCCTGACCCTTGACCTAGGGCTCCCTGCTGGTCCCCGACATGGAGAAGTGCCATCGAGACCCTCAGTACTGGGAGAAACCTGACCAGTTCTATCCGGAACATTTTCTCGACCAGGACAATCAAGTTATCACTAAGAAAGACGGTTTCCTTCCCTTCTGTGTTGGTTAGTGATTATTTGCATCTACTTTCATGGTTGTAAGTGTGTGCGTGAGAGAGAGAGAGAGAGAGAGAGAGAGAGAGGAGGAGGGAGGGAGGGAGGGAGGAGAGAGAGAGAGAGAGAGAGAGAGAGAGAGAGAGAGAGAGAGAGAGAGAGAGAGAGAGGGAAGGAGGGAGGGACGGAGGGAGAAAAAGAGAAAGAGAGAGGGAGAGAGAGGGGGGGGGGGGAGAGAGAGAGAGAGAGAGAGAGAGAGAGAGAGAGAGAGAGAGAGAGAGAGAATATTTGTAAAACCAAAGAAAATAACCCTAACAAAATTCCAAATACATTTCACCATGTTTTGGAATCCCCAACAAGTCTTAAAGGCTCAGGAAAACGAAAATTACACTGTTTATAGTCCTCTAGGCATTTAATACATATATTTCCATTCTCAATACATAATACACGTACCACATCCCACCATGCTTTATATATCTGCCTACATATCTAGACATTTATCCTTTCATTCCCAAAGGGCGTCGACAGTGCCTGGGGGAGTCACTGGCCAGGATGGAACTCTTCTTGTTTACCTCGGCTCTCCTGAAGAAGTTCTGCATCACTGCACCTGAAGGGGTTAAACTCTCAACCGAAACAAACAAGCACAGACCTGCTTTCAACTTCGCTCATCCTTTCCAGGTCATATTCACGCCAAGGGAGTGAGAACGGCTGAGGGAAAAGTGTTTTACAGTAGCATTTTACAGTAGTATTTTACAGTAGTATTTTACAATAGTAGTAGGATGCTGTAGATGAATATTTCGATCTAAATGTTTCATTATTTTTTTGTTTTGTTACTATTATTATGATTATTATTGTTGTTGTTTGTGGTGATGGTGGTAATATTATCATTAGTAGTAGTAGTAGTACCACTGTTGTTGTTGCTGTTATATTTTTTTTTTATTATTATTCTCATCATTATTATTTCTGTTAATGTTGTTGTTGTCATTGTTATAATAATAATATTAATAATAATAATAATAATCATTATTATTATTATTATTATTATTATTATTATTATTATTATCATTATTATCATTATTATTATCATTATTATTATCATTATTATTATTATTATTATTATTATTATTATTATTATTATTATTATCATTATTATTATTATCATCATTACTATTATCATTATCATAATTTTCATTATCATTATTATTTCTTTTTTATCATTATTATTATTACTATTATTATTATTATTGTTATTATTATTATTATCATTACTATTATCTTTATTACTGTTATTATTATTTTTATCATTATTATTGTTACTATTATTATTATCATTAATATTATTCTTGTTGTTACTATTATTATTATCATTAATATTATTATTGTTGTTACTATTAACATTGTTTTTATCATTATTATTATTACTATTATTATTATTATTAT